AATATACATATCAACAAAGAATCTGTGGATTTTAACCCTCTAATGGTTTTGGAACGACAGTTTCATCTAAAAAAAACAAGTGTTATATTTCATCAAAATCAGACTAGTCTACGAGTCTCATTTAAAATGTTGCCAAAAAAAAACAACAGTTTGCACTAATCAAATTTTGTAAAAATAATAATAATAATAAAAAAAAATCTGCACTCGAAGACACAGATGTGAAGTCATCAGTGGCTTAACTGTGACCAACAGCCACTTGACAAAAAATAAATCAGGGACTTTTCAGCTGAACTGGATTGAACCACAGACTATGTTTACACAGAGCATTTTTTTTTTGTTGATTTATGGTATTCTATAGTGTACTGCACAGAAGATATTGTTAAATTATTTCAAGCCATGGTTTTGCTGTTTTCATAGAGGTGCAGAAAAATGAATCCACAGTGAGTAAAAATGTGACAGGAGCAAAAAAAAAAAAAAAAAGAACACCCAGGAACTTGAGATTCAGAAAGTTCAAGTAAAGAATGTAGCTGTCATTTAGGTCTGTTCACACAGCTAACAAATAAATGTGAGCTCAGCCTTTCAAACTGCAGTCTGTTGTATATGTCAGCCTTAAAATCTGTAGGTTTCTGGCAGAGTGGACAAAAGGCTCAGCAGCCAAGTTTCTTGGAGATATTGTGAGACCATTAATTTTAAAAGGTCCAGACCCGGTCATGTCTCACAAGTCTATTCCTGGTAGACCGTCATGTTATGAACAGCAATATGTTTTCTTGAGCCCTTGTCCCGGGGCGCGAGATTAAGTCTGAACCTCTAGCCTGGATTATCCTTGTGGCCTTTGGGACACACTCATAATCGTGGATGACTCCACCTGAAATGAAGGTCAAAAGGAAAATAGGATTTGATTGAGCACTTAAACTTCCAGTTTTGTTACACTATAGTACAGAGTTCTTTTCTCCCCACACATTCACATGGGTTTTAGATTTAACTCCACAGAAAGAATCAATAACATTTCCAAAACATGTACAAGGATTATTGTTAAAAGTTTCAGATTTTTTTAATAAGACAGAGGAATCTAAACTCGAGTTTGCTACAGTCTGCTTCAGGTCTACACAAAGCCTCCATCCTACAGTTTAGCATCATTTGATAATTAATACAAATGTCACCCTCTTCTTTTGAGAAAATAGAAAGCCATTGTAGTTTTGACACAAATAAAGTAAAAGCTACACACAATGCTTGCTAACTGGCATATGAAATAGGGGAGGAAGACAGCTGCTGTCTAGTGCAATGTTACTGTACCTTGCCGGCATGCCTGGAGGCTACAGGCTCAATTTACGCTCTGCCGTGCTTCCATGGGAATTAAACAATTCAAAAGAAAATGTTGACTTACAAATTACCAGCGACGGTGGGTTCCACTCCGCAGAAAGCTGACGGGTTCGAGAGCCGCGGTTACGTGAAGCCGCGTCAGGTGGAATTTCATGTATTTGTTCAGTGTGTGGGGGGTGTCATTGTGTGTCGACTGACGGGGTTGGAACGGGGTGGGAGGACGTGGAAGACGACCAGAGAAAAAGACGCGGGAACGGCTGTGCCACGCTGAGTTAAAATCACTGATTGTGCTTTTTAACGCTGTATTGTTTGTGTCATTTCATGCAAAGTCATACATTTGTCACATTATCTATTTATGGATGAAATGACACTGAAGTGAACAAAAACAGGAAATGTACCAGTTGAGAATATGCACATGGTCACGTAGACATTTGCAAGAACTTTCTCTCTTTGCGTCACACACACACATGCATGCCCAAAAGCAGGCAATGAATATGCTAAAACAATTATCTGTAACTGCAGAGGTTAACCAATAATTACACACTCCATATGTTTACAGAAAGAAGGGATGAGAAATGAGCATCATTCTGGGTGATTTTGGTGATGAAACAATGACCTCGAGGTAATTAGCACAGATGTTTACAGCAGACTTGGTAAATTGCTCGCTGTATATGAATATCAATGTTCTGAGGCACAAACCAACCAAGAGATACTAGCTGTCTGACAAGTTTTCTATATTCCTTCCACTTTGTTTCTTCTGAGTCAAATAATGAAAAAAAAAAAAAGAAAAAGCATCTGATCAGTAAAACACACAACTCTCCTTTTAACGCTGGTTTCTTGGGATATAAAGTTGACCTTCTGGGCCGGTTGCACAGACGCAGAAGAAGACAAAGGTGGGAGGAGGAGATTTGTTAGGCTTTCATGTTGGGCGAGATAAACAAAGCAGCAGATTGCGGTGTTGTGTGTGTGTGTGTGTGTGTGTGTGTGTGTGTGTGTACGTGAGACGAACTCCACCAACTAATACTGGTGGTTACAAAACACCATCCTGCCTACATATTTGTTTGTGTTTTCACATTGTAGTCACATTTTCATTTGTTTTAATGACTTCGATGATGGCTCCTAGTGAAGCACGAGGCTTGTTATTTCCTCCGAGTTGTGCTGATGTATTGGTTTGACCTTTGATATTGGCCAGCCATGCCATTTACCACCCGCATGATTGAGAGTCCTCCCTGACCACCGCTAGATGAAAACCACAAAAAAGAAAAAAAAAAAACTGCAATCAGATAGTACTTTGGTTGAGAATGTTATTATTATTGTGGGTTTTTTTTCTGCAATCCTAAAACTATCTCTAACAATGATATGAGTCCATTTCTGATTTCAGAAAGTTAGCTGAATTATTTATCGTTGGTGGCTCCTGTCCAAAATTCACAACACATGGACAATACTGGTGCATCACTGGAATCAGTCTGTATTTAATATAGTTACATTGTGTACACAGTGTACATTCATGTGTGCAACATTTATACATACTGGTGAGAAGGTTTATCCGTAGGCAGCCTTTTGAAATTCCATCCGAGATGATGTGATGCGCATCAGACTCGCCTCAATTGCAGAAGAAAAATTCAAATAGCGGCAGTTTCTACAGGATGTTGGGAGGAGTTTAATGATCCTTTGAACTTGTAATTGGAGCTGAACAACTGCGTACCAGTATGTAATCTCTCTCGACTGGAATCCTTTTCAAGGTTAATAAAGATCAACAACATGTTTGTTTTTTTTCGTTGCTTATCTAAGAGGACAAGCTGCTGGATCTCACTGCTGACTGAAACTATTACCTGCTTGAAAAAGATATTAATCGGAGGCAAGAAGAAAAAAAAAGGTTTGCCGTCTACAATTCTTGGTGATCAAAAGTGAACAAGAAAGGATCAGTTTTAAGAGACACCGGAGCAATGTGAGAATCGATGCATTAAAGCCATTTAAGACGGAAAAACACATGAATTGTGACTTTTTTAAAGTTGCTGTAAGAAATTATTAAAGGCCCAATTCGAATCGTTGTTACAAAAAAGGAATTCAAAAAGCCGATTTAAATAAAACGGCTAGTTTCTACAGGACAATGTAAAAGTAGCTAAGCGTTAAATTGTTATTTTTAAGTCTCGGTGCTAAGATGCTGAATTCAAGTTCCAAAGCTATTACCTGAACTTACTCATTCGGTTTAACATCCCCAAAAAGAACAGTCAGCAAGAGAGGCTAGAATGCTTCTGTGCTCTCTGTTACACAGAAAGCAAACAGCAGCTTGAACACCATAATATACATTTAACTCTGGTGCACAGTGCAGGATGTAATAGATAATGACTATAGAGGACAAACTATTGATTTTCAGGTGAGATCAATAGATGATGCCAGCAAGCACATTTGGCTTTGTGTAAGTTTGTAACACTGGACAACTTGTTGAAACAAATGGAGGACAAAAGCAGCTTCCTGCTATCAAGGTAAAGCAGATAAATGGCAGTAAGTATGGAACATCTGCTAGGGAAGGTATTTTATTTTCTGTTTTCCTTAACTTGCTACTTTCTGTAGACTGTTACTCAAAGCCACAATCACAGTAAAGCAAATAAATGAGCTATCAATGATCAATGACGAGGTGTGTTTTCTTCTTGCATGTTTTTTTCCCCCACAGTCGTGATTTTCTTACACTTACCGTTATCATCAAATTATCTTCAAACAGCCCCCTACAGAGCGTAATGTCCGTTCCTCTCTTAAAACAATACCACATAATGGCATATTCCAATAATGAGGACCACAAAAGCACACTTCTTGCACTTATTCTAAATTGCTCTGCAGCAAATGAAGCTTAACACGGCATGACTGGACCAATAAGCTTAATGTTAATCTTGTGCTATTATAAGTATGAAAGGCTGCTGGTAAAAGTCATGTCTGTTATATTGGACACAAAGGGCTCTTCATGGTGGAAGCAGCAATCAGACAAGGGGTTTTTGAAATGCGCCGTTATCAATGTGTCACGTGCAATCAGAGCGCAATCAATTCATTTGAGTTACAAAGACAATACATCACGGCGCATTCAGACGAAGACACAATACATGCAAATTTTCTCATTAACGAGTTTTATGGAAGAGTTTAATTTTTGGAGTGCACTTAAACTAAACAATCTCAGTGCTGACAAAAAAACTATATTAAAAATGAATAATAGAGCATCATTCAAACTTTGCAAGTTTTTGTAATCGGAAGATTGATGATCTCATTAAAGCTCTATATTAGTATTGTTGTTTTATTTGTATTCTTTACCCATTGAGCTCCATCAATCTCTTCCCAAAGCACTCCACGAGTCTTCAGATTCATTTCCTACCTTTGAGACGGCAATTGGTTCCATTTCATTTCACAGTAAATGTCCTCAAAGTGGGAAATCAATCAGATTAAACATCTTGATTAACGTTAAAAGTGTCATTTCTCACTTTTGCTGTTGGAATTAAAGCCCATTGTCACCTCTTTAGAGCTCTAAAAACCTCAATAAACGATGACACGCCTTCATGTTTTTTCTAAAGTAAATATTATTTTATGGATCGCTATCATGTAAAAAATTCTTGATTTTAGGCTTTAATCAGTGTCGTCTCACCAAGCATCTCAGTCAGCATCTTCACAGTCAGGCGTCACACATGTGTACTTACGGTCGTTGCAGAACGGCCCCCCGTAGGTGGTCATGGTGCAGTCACAGGAGAAGCCCTCCCACAGCTGCAGACACACTCCTTGGTGGTGGCAGGAGTCCTCTGTGCAGGTGGTGCTGGGACCTGCGGGGTGTTTACAGCACATTTATCACGTGTCCTTTTCCCCATTTTATTTATGCACCTCCACTGCTATCCAGAGGGAATAAATGAAACAACAGTAATAATGCAACGGTGAGCCATTCATTAACAGCAAAGTAAAACTGAACAATCTCATATTAGAATGTATTCATGTGTTTTCTTCATGCTTCTGAGGATAAGAGCTGCAAAATGACAACAACAGCAGTTTAACCAAAGTGATAAAAAAACAAACAAAAAACTGTTTGTCTTTGCAACTGCTTTCGACCTCTAACTTAAGGAGCAAAAATTTTGGACAATCCATCTGCTTCTTACGTGGCTCATGCTGGCAAAGATTGCATGCCTATTAATTACAGCGAAAATCAAGGGGAATGCAAAGAGCTGTTTTCTCTTGAGTCCCACTAAGCCACAGCTAGCTTTAACTGTATTCAGATTGACTCAGAATTTCATTTTCAGTCACATTCTCGAGGTGGATAAATGCTTTTTATTCTTTCTGGTGAACCTTAATCCACCACAGCTTTTCTGCCACAATCATTTTCTAATGCTTGAATCTTTTTTACTAACCAGCAAATGGTGTAAAATCGACTTTGCCAAGTCATGCTACAAACAGAAAGATGGTTTTTGAGACTCCATGACCTTTATCCAAGAGTCATCGCCAAACTTTTGGGTACACTTATATAACAATTCTGTCATAACCAGTGTAGTGTTTCTTCTGTTAAAGTAATGGCTACCTGGGGAGATTATTTGAGCTTTTTAAGTCTTGGCAGATTTCCTCAGTCTGTTGAGTGCTTTCTTGTTAGAGCGCAACAAAAACAGCTGGACACCTTTGCTCCGGATTGATGTTATTACATGTTAGCATGTTTAATCAAGAAGAATAAAACTGCTGAATGTGTTCACTGGTTATTCAGAACGGAGCATTCGACACAGCTGTTTAACAGTTCGGCAAATGTAGTGTAATTAAAGCTCAGCGAACCAGCAGCTCCCCCGGTTTTCGTGTACAGGATGCTGCGACAACAAGGAAATCAGATTACAAGGAATGATTCGCAGGTGTTTCCGATGTCCTCACCTCCACAGCCGCGCTCCACCTCTCCCACCTTGTGGAGGGCATCTGCCAGCAGGTCAGGGAGTCTTCCGTTGAGGTCCACAGATGCCAGGCAGCCCTTGTATCCTTCTCGGGATGCTATTAACCTGGGCAGGCTGCTGTACATGCTCTTACCAACACCTCCGACGTACAGCTCTCCTGTAGGATACGGATGATGATCAAGAGAAAAATACATGTTGGTGCATGTATTTAGACATATATTGTATTCAAACACTCCAGAAAATAAACTGTGCAAGACAATTCCAACTTCAGAGGAGAAGAAAATGAATGAAGAGTTGAATATAGTTTTTTGGGCAAACATAAATATCTAATCTCCTGCGTTACTAACTGCAACGAGTATTCACAGCCTTAAGTCACCTTTCAAATCCAGGTTGCGTGCCCCGTTTGCATGTTGCGTGACAGTGCGGGAATCGATCTTAAGGATGTGCACGTTGTTGTTGTCTCGGGAGATCACCACATTGTGCCACTGGTTGTCATTGAGTGGCTTGTCAGAGTTTCCCTTCATTAGCGACGGTCCATTTCCCAAGTCGAAAACATAATGGATGTACCTACAGCACGGAACAGATGTTTACATTCAATATTGCTTATCTATAATTGTTTCACCACATTCCATACGCCATTTACAAAACAGCATTACCAGTTTTGTGCACGGGTTGTTTAATAGTACAAACACGTCACTTGTGAGACTGGTATATGATTAAAACATTGTTTATATTATTCTAAATGCATGTCTACTCTTCTGTTTTGTGTTTTTCAAGCATTCTGTTCACATGCATACAAATCTACACTGAAATTATGTAAACAACACAGTAGGTCCTGAAGCACATCAATATGTTGTCATTAAATCCAATCATCAGATGAGTGCACTTACAAAAAACACATCTTAATGGAATCAAAGTTGAGCAACATACATGAATAAGCCGCCACACTTCACACTTAACAGTTAGCAGCCGGAAATCTATGACAGAAGTGTTGGAAGCCATTTTTTGTCTGTGTTGTCTGTGTGAGCTTCTGCTGCAGGCTCCAGAGCTGAACGAGGCCTCCTGCTGACTAATTGCTTACTGGGAGAAAGTCTGTGCAAGGTCTGACAGTGGGAAGATACAATTGCTGCCTCGCTCGCTCTGTTGCAACAACCTTCCTCTGCTGTTTCGCTCTTCAACAACAACTATTTAGGATGAATAAAACATTTGGAACATATTTGTGTCGGTGTCAAAATGCCAAATGTGCTTAAATATGCGAGTGACTCTGGTTTTTGAACTCGTGCCACCTCTTGCAGCTCGCCTCCCTTTAACAAAATTATTTATGATGAACAAATGATTTTAAAGCCATTCGGTGTCTCTCTATAGTGCTGCAGGCTGATGGATTCAAGACATGACTCATGATTGGGTAATTCTGAGCTCAGGAAAGAAGAAAAGCTCCTGTTCTTGTGGCTTAAGTTTTGCAAGACAAATACTGTTGCACTGAAATAAAAGACTACAAAGGAACAAATTAGGTATACAGTATATAAATAGTTTATGCTTCTGCCAAATAGCCCTTTTTTCTTTCCTCAGTCGAGGACTGTATGTAGATTGTAGCAAAGTAGCACACTTACCCTTTGACTAGCTCCACCACAATGAAGTCGCTGCCATCTCCGGAGTTGTACAGTATCAGGCCATCAGGACTAGTGGTCTTGAACTGGAAAAACAGGTGCATGGAGGCGTAGGCCTGTAAAGTGGAGAAAGCCAAGTAGCTGGCTTGCGTCAGAAAAGTTACAGGATTGGCAACAATGTGCCTCATGCCAAATCGAGCATTCAGCTCGCAGTAGGAGATGTCTCCGTTCTTGCACTGGTCCAGATAGAGCATCCCGTTGAAGGAGAGCGCTTGCAGATGGCCGATGAAATTGGAAGGCATCACGGAGATAAAACGGCGCTCCGTCATGATCCCCGTCTCGATGTTGTTGAACTCCAGGCGGGTATGGGCGCCGGTCATGAGGCCTGAGGAGGGAAACACTCCGCTCAGATTGCAAATACCTCTCGATATCTCTGCTGCTGTTACTACAGCTCCTTTATCCCTACTTTACCTTCCACAGTCACGTTGTCTACAGAGAGCTGCAAGTTCTTCCCACGCCGCACCACCTTCACTGTGTGCCACTCGTTGTCATTCAGCTTCTCGCCTACTAGGAGTATCTCTGGTCCCTTGCCTAAGAGGAGGAAAGCGTCAAGTGACAATCATACCACATGAGCTCAGTATACACTCTTTCCACACAAAGCTCTCGACAGGAGAAGCACTCTCAGGGAGCATACATTCATTTACTTATCAGTCACGCACACGGCCACAAACATTCACCAAGCAAGCAATAATTTGCATATGCTCAATACGTAGGAAAATGTGACAAAGAAAACTACAACAATAGAGCCTATTCTAAACCGAATGTTTAAAACGTACTGAAATAGCATGCCATCTGGTGTCCCCTTTATAGGGTCATTTGAGTGATGTCTGTTGGGGAAACACGCATCTAGAGACCCGGTTCAAACATATATCTTTAAGTTTCAAAATTTCTGCACTATCCTCTGCCTTTTTTTTTTTCCTCCACTGGTTTCAAAATAGGTCACAGTGCAGAAGCTTGCCACTGCAGCACCGTCATCCCGAATCAGTGCCTATGCAACAGGCTGACACGGCAGTTCAAAGGAGTTCTGTCATCGCTTGGGAAACTAATTGGCCATGCCTAAGCTGACTGCGCCTTTAGGGGTTTGTCTGTCTAATTGAGCTCAGGGTGCAGGAGAATTACAGGGGACGTACAGAGGGCAATAAATGGAAAACATCAACTGGTTTCCGAACACTTCACTGTTTCATCCTCGGGGAAATAAAACGGTGACTACAGACTTTGTCCAGGGCATATCAAGTGTCTTCAGAGCACGCCGCGTGATGCCAACATCCACCTGGTGAATATTGACTACGCAAACCAGACAGATCAATCACATCAAATCGTGCTCTCTTTACACTTGATGGATTTACTTAGATAATGGAAAACAAACCACTCGCTGGAATCATGTCCAACACAAAAACAGAAATGTTTACCTTGTAAATCACTATCATGAAAACAGAGGTACTGACAAGATTTGCTGCAGTGAAAGAGGAGATAGTGGAATGCAGGGTAGTCGGGACTATTCATCTTATCTGTGCTTCTCTGAGCGGAGCCGAGCTGCTATATAAACCCATTCTACATTCTACCAGCAAAATAGAAAAAGATATACATTTCAGTGGAACCTTCACAGACGTTACCCCTCAAAGCCTGTTTACGTGTCTTTTAAAAGACTGCTGCATATGTAGGGAAAAAGGCCAGATCAATGGAGGATACAATCTTGTTTAAGTCGTGTCAATCGTATCAATACAGAAAGAAAAAAAAAAAAAAAGGAACCTTCACTTTAGATCTTGTGCTGAGCATTCCTCTTAGTGCTGCAGTATTTACACATGCGAGCTTGCATACAGCGACCATTTTGGTAGAAAACACATTAAGAACATTGCTCACTGTTTAAGAATTTAACAGAGAACAGCAAGAAGAAATGCATCATGTTTGGCAAATTATTATGAAAATATATTCAGAAGTGCCATATTAAAAATACATTCCCCTCATAAATGATGACATATTTTACATTGTGTCACACTGGCTGCTTTTGACAATAAAAAAAGCATTTGTGCTGATAACAACATCAGAGAACCTGCCCTGATATTAGTTGGTATCGGATTGTATGGTGCTGCCTGCTGCAGCCTTTTGTGGCTTCACAGAGCTCTGATATCACTTCAATCTCCATCACTTGGGGGTGAAGTTTGAAAATGAATAACATCCAGGGGGTGTACATTTAGCAAGCAGCTCACCTAAACTACAGGCTACATTTGTAATACAATATTATTAGATAATTTTTTTTTACAGAAATTGTCCACGATGAGTCAAACAATGATTGTGGAATTACTTTCTAAATTGAACATTAACCCTCTCAACCCCAAAACCAGCTGGTGGGCATGAAAGGCCATGATTAGACCATCTATCAGACCCAGAAACGATAAAAACAAGAACAATTTACAGACTTTCAACTTTTTAAAAATTCACTCATAATGTGTCATCTTCATGAACCAGGTTCTATAAAAACATAAAAATTCTGTGTTCCTTGGCACAACTAAGAAACTACGACGAACGCAGCTGCAACCAACAACCACACGCCAAGAATTCAGCTACTCTTCAGTTGAACTTGGCTGAACTGCAGGCTGTGTTTACACCGAGCAGATCGGAGACAAGTATGGAAACAAATTAGAAATAGGAAGTAAAAAAGTATGTAGAACTGCCGTTTTCGTTTTCAGTTTTGGTAACACCTGTGGGCACAAAAAAAATGCTGTGAATGTTGTGTTTTTTCTTCAATTTTCATAAAATAAAATCAACTAAACTCAGCTTTCATTTTCTGTCCTGTTATGATTTATGGCCTTATACCCGTTTCATCCTGCACAAAAGACATTTCTGACATTTCTCTACTTCTGGCCATGGTTGTGGTGTTTCCGTAGAGGTGCAAGACTTTATATTACAATGAAAAATGAGGACACAGTGACAGGAGCACAAATACCGAGGAACTGCTTGGTGTTCAGAGGGTTAATAATTATTTGCACAACTGATAGCATTAATTGTAGTCACAGTCTTTGATATGAAAGTGGGGTCATAATGAATCGTGTCTCTCAGTAAATATTAATGAAGTACACACAATAAAACTGCATTTCACATTAGGGACAGTGATCTATCTCCAACACTGCAGGGTATTAAAATGATGGAATTATAATGTGTGTTCCCACAGACATCTGACTGTAAACCCTTTGAAATGTGGCCTCCTTTCAAGGTACCTTCGCTTCACAAGCTCAGCTTCCAGAGGCTCGAGAGCAGGCCGCACATGTAAAGGGTCTATTTTGTCCAGTTTGATCCTCAGTTAAAATTGAATTTGATTAATACTTTCAAACAAAGATAACTTCAAAGGCATGGTGCAGTTATACAGGTCAGCATTATGAGTGAGCCGAGACTTTGAACGCAGGATGTGCGTGTTAATCAAAGCATGTTATGGTAATTTTGTAATTTTGTGGAACAAATGCCTCATTTCAGGAGTGTGCAGTGTACCATTATTCCCCAGATTCCAGAGAATTAATCAAGAGCATTGTAGCAACATTTGCTCTTACAGCTATTACCCTCCCACTGTGTATCCAGTTGTGGACAGCTTCCAAGCAGCTGCTGCAGATGGGCTGTCTCTCTGATACCTTCAAAAACCAAGCTAGACTCGCACGACATCGTGCCTGAGAAGAATTCTTGATCCCGCAATCAAGTCGTAAGGTAATCCTTTAAAGCAGTCATAACAAATAGATATATAACGATATTAGAGCGCTGATTTGATGATGCAAATGATGCTGCAATTTAAAATTTCACTCCAATCCAACCTTTAAATCTAATAATACAGCATTCCTTGTCACATCTGCAGTGTAAAGCTTTTTCAGAGGCCACTGGTGCAGCATAGATTCAGTGCAATGGATCCGGAAGATGCTTAATTTTGCACACATGCAGCACATATTTTCTGTGGACAGTGCATGATGGTAGAATGCCATCTGCTGGTAGAGAGGGCAATTTCCTAGGCAGATATCAAAATGAGCCACATTCAGCGTATCTGCTTTTTACACAATTATATATCCTTTCTATCGGGTGCAATGAACTATTTAAAATTGTTGAATCGCTTACCTAAAATACTTAAAAAAAATGTTTTAAATCGCATCCCTGCAGGGAGGTCGCTGAATTAATTTTCCTGTCCAATCATCCACACACATGAAAGCAGACACTCTACTTACCTTGATTAGAGAGACACAATCCACACAACATAACGGACAGTTGATTTGGCTCGTACATGTGTTATAAAAACAAAAAGGGTCTATATAGCCTCTAAATCTCCACCTCAGATCAGTAGAGTAACATGAGACAGAATTACAGACTGTGGGACATTGATTCTTCAGTTACACATGATTAAATGTCAAGATATGCTCGAGAGTACATAAACTGTTGTTGCAATGGGATCCTTTCATCTCAGGTGCTCGTAAATACGATGTAATGACTAATGTTCAGGTTGTCCCGCAAATCATTGGGAAACTGAATGTGAGCATTTAAACGTCTTCATTCTAGAGTATCCAGGAATTATTCATACATGAGGGCTGGAAACAAGCTTTCAGCCGGCACTCGATTATAGTGATAACTTTTATAAGCATTCATAAGCCTCCTCTGTATAGGATGATCTAAATCAGAGAGCTGTTCACCTCTCCGCAGGCAATAGCTTTTATCTGTTTCTCACACCGCTGTATTCTCAACCAAAACTTAAATTGCCTGTCTCTCGCTATCAGGTGAGCGCAACAATCTGCATCATAAATCCAGCCATTATTGACCTAAAGTCCTACGCCCGAGTATAGAATACCAGAAAGTCAATTCTGTTAATCAAGAGGAAGATCTTCTCTTGGTATTCATGCGAATTTGAAAGAGCGGAAATGTATAAATACGCCACACTTCCTGAAGCGTATTTGACGGATGCTCTTTTTTCTAATTGTCGTGCTCCTCAGAGTGTTTGTATAATTCAGTTTCTGTGTTCAATGATTTTAGACATTATATATGTTCATCCTGCAATATATGGCACATCTGGTCCTGGATTCCTCTTGCAATTAAAATCTTTAGCAGGAAAACAAGTGTTTGTCGATGTATGATGAGTGGTTTGATTCAGACGCTTGCTCTATTTGAAAGATTTATCATAAAAAAATGGCATCTGGCGAGGAGATTTACTCAAACTGGGTATGATCCGCCACACTTTCTCTCCTGAGATGGGAAGAACGGTTTGCAACAAATTGTAATCTCTTTCCAGATTTAAGGGAAAAAACAAGTTTTGTTGATGGCTGACAGTCTGGTCTCATACTTAATTACTGATCACACATGAAGTTAACCTCTAAGTTCACCTCAGTTCTGTCGCTGCAGTCTGATTACGCTCAAACAAAATCTTTTTTTCCCCCTCCTCTAAACAGAGAGTGAGAACCGCTCTTCTCACTAGAGACAATTGCCGGTTATACTTGAACTGTACCCAATTATCAGCATGCGAGCAAATTAGTCACAGGCAAATGAATGACACACTCATTGGCAGCACAACAGCAGACTACTGTATGTCAAATTTAGCTACATTTGATTAGAACATTATTACATTGAAATAATGAGAAAATGTGTAATTTAAATTGTTGGATTTCATGAGTATAGCTCTGAAAAGGATCCAATTATGTTCGACTGTACAGCAGCTTGACACAGTGAAGTCTTGTTCTTATCTTTAGAATGATGCTTGTGAGAAAGATAACAGCAACAGTAAACAAAGAGAATTGTGGGGCAGAGAAAAAAAACCTGTTCTGCTCCATAAGGGAATAGAGACAAGAGGCATATATGACAGTTGTCTAAATAAGGGTACAGTAAATAATCATAGGAGACACTTACTGAGATTACAGTCTATCCTGATACAATCTGGTGAGAGAGAGAGTGAGATGGTGAGATTAAAAGAAAAAAAGAACAGCACAAAAGAGGAGAATATTTCACATCCTTCAAGGTACATTCTGCAGACAGTTCAGTGCTTTTCAGAGCCCACCATCCGGGGACAGCCTCGAGAGTCTAAACCGCCACTTTCCTCCCTGCTGTTTACTTAACATTAGAAGAAGAAGAAGAAAAAAAGTAACCGTGTGTGAAAGGAAAACCTCAGCATGTGTCTGGCACAGTTGGAAGTCCAATAGACCGGCTCAAAGTTGGGAGTCTTATTGACCATAAAAGTAGAGGTGCACCAGCATTATATTTTTAGCACTGACGTGGGCTGTGCTACATGCGGTTTACATTCAGCGTCAGCAGGATTTCTACCGTTTCAGATGGCATGACTGATAGTTTTACTGACGTGTCCTTTGGGGTAATCCAGCGTACATGCACCGCTGTGAGGATAATTGTCTGAAGCGGATAACAAAAATGGAACCTGTGCTACATTTGAGCATCTCATGGGGAGATAATGGAGATTTTTAACACAGGAAAGGCAATGATGTACTGTAAAGCTATTCAGAGAAGAAGCACACTGAATGTACTGCAAAGAGCAGGTGAGAGTGGCGACTGAACAAAAGCAAATCGTAGTAACCTGCCAGAACTATGCAGAATTTATAGTAAATGATTAGTATCCTGCGAAATCTAACCTTCTCTGGTCCTTGTCGTCACGGTTTATTGTGTAACGTATTTGTCTAGTGTGTTCTTTGCTGTATTCTAGTTGTATTCAGAAGTGATTAAGATGTGAGTAATTTCATAAAACACTACTGAGAAGGTCATGAGAGTCATTTTTATCACACTTGGTAGCCTGATTCACCTCTACTCAAAAGCCCAAACCTTGAACCGTCGTCAACTCAAGATGCTGTAAAGTCAGAACTGCTACAGTCTCCTGCTTGTTTCTGCAGGCCTGATAGTGACATTTTTTCTAAGTCAAATGCAGAGGAAAAGCGGCGATTTGCACAACCTGCGGCCACAATGATACTTACACCGTGAAAAAATGGCAGCAGCACAAATGTGATGCCTTGCCAACATTTTCTCATATCTGCAACAGCTAATATCTTCTAAATCCCTCTGAAACATTCAAATTTTTGGCCACAAAATGGATTCACCCACTCGTTTTTTTTTTTTTTGCATGTTCTGAATAATGACAGCAATCTCACCAACTGTATGTGAATATATCGGTATAAGTCACGTGGCCGAGTAGTGCTCTCAAGCTGTCAACCATCACAGAGCAGTGGATACAGACAGCCAGAGACCAGAGTGACTTTGTGCTGCAGGTGTGCATGTGCATGTGTGTGTGTGTGTGTGTGTGTGTGTGTGTGTGTGTGTGTGCGTCCATCACTGACACTCCCTGCTCAGTGAAGTGACTCTAAACTGGACAGACCAGTAAATGTGAGGGGAGGGAACGACAATGGTCATATCTATGGTGTGAGCAGTTAAGTGGTAATATTTCAGCGTAATGACAGATCAGGTCTCTGACTGCCTTCTCCTTGAACTGCAGACAAGCCATTGAAGGGCTGAAAGAGCCGAGACAGTCAGGTGGGACCTGACCACAGGATGAACTGAGAGAGAGAGAGAGACACAGGGAGAGAGAGAGAGACAGAGAAAGAAAAGGCAGAATATACATACACACATACAGTTGCTTAAAAGGCACTAAACCCCTTGTTTTTTCAGAGCTTTTGTAATTACAAATTACTTAAAAGTGAAATGTTTGATTTTAAAACAAAATTCTTGTATTTTTTTTTTTACTCAGTTGTACGTTCTTATTCTGTAGTTTATATGTAATCCATGGAAAACACTATTTTTGTCTCTTACTGGTGTACAGAAATACACATTTTAGGATCTTTCAGTAGTCACATTGTTAAGGTGCATATAATTTAACCCCCTCTGACCTTTGTTGCATGTCATGGCCCTCTGTCTCCCCATGTTTCTGCCCCTGTGTCTTTTTCTACACTACAAGCTTTTCAATAAAATTGTGAAAACAAAACTCTTAAAACATTATTAAGCTTAGCTTTTCTATGGTACTTCAAAGTCGTATGAAAATCTAATTGGGCAAAAAGTGTGCCGTCTGTGGATTGTAGAGGTCTGCTGGTTACCCTATAAACAAAACAGGACTCTTTCTTTTTTTTTTTTTTTTAATATCTTCTGTCCGCTTTTTCCTTAATCTACATGTTTCTGTCTCTATCTAAACTGTCACTTTGTGCAAAACAATAAAGAATGCATGATTTTTTTTTTTTACAAAAAGGGGGTAACTTTACTCTTGCAAATCGTAAATAACTTAAAGCAAATGTTTTAGGAAATACACCCATTTTCTTGTCTTACATAAGATTGGTATTATTTTCTCTCTGCCAGAAAGCAAATAAGCATATTTCCTGAATATCTAAATATTCACATAAACTGCATAAGAGAAACACTCCAAATGATCTTTCTATAAAACATCTGATTAACATTAGTTTATATAGAAGGTATATTTTTTTAAGGTGACAATTTTCTGGTCTTTAATACTAGATGACATTAGAAAAGAATACAGTACTTGAAACGGTTTTTCAGTTCCTGGTAAAAGCGAATCAAAGCATAGCTGCATGAAAGGATATCCACCAACTGTGTTCCACTTTGTTACAGTACAACTGCTATTTAAAGTGACCAGTCTTTATTTAATTCACTAATTTCCACTTAAATACAGCTACACTGGATAAATTTGACACAACCACCACAGGGTTTTTAAAAAATGCAAATAAATTACAGCAGCATGCAGAACAACCAAGGGATGTGCTTTTCTTTTTTTTTTTTAGGCAACTGTAGCTACTGTGTATGAAGATGAGTATGGGAGAGCCTCAGACAACACAAATATATTGAGATATCTGTCTAGGTGACACATCCTGAAAGGTCAAGTGATGTTATCTGCTCATATTTGCCGCAGCGGCATTACCCAGGTTCACAGTGAGTTTCACTCTGCCTCCGTCCAGCTCCAAGCGCAGCGTGTCTGCTGACTGCTGAGAGGTAGTGGCCATCAGCAGCCCAAAGGCCCTCTGGGACATAAAGCGCAGGGACACATCCTCGGCCTCGGTGTGCAGCGTCCTCGGCAGCAGCACCTTCAGATACATGCTGCCGTCATAGCTCACCATGGTGGCCTCTGAGGGATTCAGGAATAGGAAGCGTTAGCAGACACCGACACCCCAGAGGGAATCACAAAGCTAAATTAGAAACACAAAGTGGCATTTACGGAATGAAACCTGAATTCTGCTTGAGATTATCTTGGGTACTGCATGATATAATTTTAGATTGCAATTTTCATCAGTCGCACCAGATGGCAGAAAAAGCCTGGAGCATACAAAGACAGTGGCGAGATTGCAGCAGCAATCAAATTTCTGAAGGATTTATACCCATCATAGTGCAATACAAGGGGGATTTTCATACATCCCTCATACTATTAGCTGCCAATGGATCTGCGTAATTTGGCCTCTCTGTGTGGAAACCATCTGCATGGTAAATGCAGAGTGATTCAGGCCGAATCACTCTGCCGAAGCACCACTGCATTTCTAATGAAACACTCATAGCACTGGCAACCTCATGATACGGAATTTTTTTAAATGAATCACTCCTCTGTAGGAAAATACTGCAATTTACTTTTGAGGGGCTTAAATGAAAAACAACATAATTTTCCATTTTTCCGTCATTGTCACCAGACTGCTCTGCAGACGTGGAGAGGTATTTGGAGTTGAGAGCACGGCTCTCATTTGAATAGATATAACATTATACAGTATGATCATACTGCAGTTGCAAATGAAATTATTATTGTTTGGGCAGCCTGAGTATTAAGGCGGGATAATGAATTTTCTCTGTATCTACATAGTTTCTCTCTGTGCGGGCACCTTTTAGCCACTACACACCTAAGTTAATAAATAAAATACCAGCCAGAGTGTGTTAAAAGCTTTGCAACAGCATTTTTAAAATCACTCATCCTCCCCAGTCACAACTGCTCTTCTTAGAAATTCCTACCCTTCTCACAGCTGGGACCGAGGTATCCGGTGCTGTTGCAGTCACAAATGTGGCGGTTCCAACCTTCTCTGCAGTGTCCACCGTTGGCACATGTGTCTCTGGCACACCTGACATGAGTCTCCCTGGTGCAGAGGCTGCTGACACCTGTGGCGCTCTGAACCTCGGCCAGCCTCCACAGGTTTCGGCTCTGTCCGTCAATGAAGAGGTCCCTGATGCAGCCCACGTAGCCGAGGCCGAGGGAAGCCGTCCACACCTCCGGGGGGAGCATGAGGGCTTGGCGATCCTCAGGTAAACCTCCCAGATACATGTCCCCATCTAGGTCAAGGATCTCGCTGCCTTCATTAGCAGAAAAGGGGATGCTCTGGCTGTTCACGGAGATAAAGCCTGTGGGGCAGGCATTAACAGTGAGTCAACTTGTACTTATACAAGGTTTTTGTTGCAAGGGAAAGGAAAACAGGTGTGTGTGGGTTGTGCAAAGTGAGAAACAAGAACAAACTGTGAGATTGAGGAAGTGGGCACCGGTCTGCTTGTGTTTTTTTTTTTTTTTTGAAAGTGCAGTTAAAAAAGCTTCACTGCCAGTCCGAGCTGATTTTGTAAGCAGAAGTGGAAATTAAAACTTGCTCTGGAAAAGTGAAAAATTACAAATGACAAATCTACGTTGTCACATTATCCTGCTTGAGAAGAAAGGAAAGGTATTTATAGATACTGGAAGGAAGAAACAGAAGGAAGTGCATTTTTTGGGCCTCTACTAATAAGGCAGACATTTGTATTGTACTAACAAGGCAGACATTTGTATTGTACTAATCAGGCAGACATTTCCCAATTTGAGTTGGGTGACTGTATAATTGGCCACTTGTGAAATAGGTTAACACAGATTTCAAAATGTCATACGTAGATTATAGCCACTAAAAATATCATTGTAATTAAAACCTAATATGCATGCATGTTTCACTGCAGTGAATAAAAAGGCAGAGCGAGCTGATGTGACTGTATCCATGCTGGCATATGGTGATTTCACAGCTTGGAACCCTTTATACTTCACAGCTAAAACTAGAGACACACGGTAACAGAAGGAGACAGAAGGCTTCCCCTGCTTTCGCAAACACAAATTTATCTTACCGTTGCGGCCTTTCCTCTGGAAGTCCACATGGCACCACTCGCCGTCATCCAGCCTTTTGTTACTAGCTTTCATCTTGATGCTGCCAGAGCCCATATCCATGACCAGGTAGAGGAATCCGTCCAGCAGCTCTATGGCGAAGAAATCGGCCCGAGGCTTCCTATCAGGCAGCGTACCCTGCAGACTGCCGTGGCTGAACAGCAGCAGGCCGCTGGGCTCTGTGGTGCGGAAGTCAAAAGATATGGCGCCCGTCTTCTTTGTGTTCCACCTGGGCAATGTCACGTAGGCAGACGGCGTGTCGAAGGTGACCGGCTCCAGGGCTTCCACATTCTCGCAGCTGAATATCAGGTCACCATGGATACTGATCTTAGGGTCTCGCTGTTCAGCCAGCCGTGACAGTTCCAGTCTAAACTCATTATTCTTGTAGACCACCTAATAAATAAGAGAGATGTCGTGGTGAGATGACAGCTGGAAAGAGGAATGCATTTAGTGCAAAGGCTAGATATTAGTCATCAATAAATAGTAGAATCAATATGACACAGCGGCATTTACAAGGGCACGCAGCAGACAACGTGTTGAATCATCCCTGAGCTCGGAGCTCAGACAGAAAATGTCCTGATGATTTGATGTTGATTGCGTTTCAAGAGATATGTCAAGTTAACTGGCACCTTACATTAAATGGATGCACTTGATGTGTTATTAAAAAAAATACATTAAAAAATTATAAAATCCACCACATTTAGCTTCACTGAGGTTGTTCATGCTGCAGAGACAGAGGAAGCATGTAGAACTGAAAACATTGTATTTTTACTGATCATCAAACTCACTTGTGGGACCGAATGTTCTTTTCTTTCTGTTTCCTACCTGGTTTCTAATCTGCATGTTTTCACGTTGATCATAAAAATTTCTTCATTAACTTCAAAACGACAACGAGATTATCACACGGAAACAAGACGGCGGAGTCGAGTTGAAACGCTCGTGGAATTGGAAAACGCATTTAGATTTAGATGCAAATGCAAACATTTACATTTTAGACATTTAGCTGACTCATTTAAGAATGTACAATGGGTCCGACCGAATAATCTTAAATTCGGAGCGGAAGAATCACAAACATCGCACCTACACTGTGATAAAAAATAAATAAAACTGTGTGCGTTTATACTGAACTGAGAGAGAAATAAATAAATCAAATCCAGGCAGAGATGGTGGGTGGAAGAGAGGTAGACTTTATCCTTTACAAGCACAACACACAATTTCTTATTTAAAGAAGTAAATTCTGTAAACATGGACTCCTGATGGTGAATAAAGAATGGTAAAAGAAAATGTGATTTTGCAGCATTGGGAGCATGAATGTATAATAGATGTTCCATTTGCGTTTGCTTTACATTTGATAAATTGCATCACAGGAATCAGCGTGAAATACAAAACCAACCTTTGAAGCCTTTTCACTCGTACTCAGGGTAAGTAGCCACAGATAACATGTAACTGGGAGTGTGTAAGACGATTACATTAGTTATATAGTTAGAATCTAGTCATTTAAATGATATTTTCATGGATTAGTTAATTACATCTTTAAACATTGTGCAACACAAGAACATCTACTCTGCTAGTTTATTAAAGGAAGTTACTCCCCCCAGGTTGCCAGTTTTGACTAATATTTACTAGCTGCTGTTTTTTAAAATATTAATTTATGGATAGTGGAGTTTTTATTCTATTTTTATTTACATTAAAAATGAAAGATGAAAGATGAACATTTCCAGCCAGCACTCCTCTTTCGCTACAGGAGCAAAGTCCTCTATGTGGTCTTGGATTACAAAACAGCAACAAAAACATCCACAAAAGAAACAGCAACCCACATGTTGTAGATCACACAGAGTTCAAATGTACTTTGTGCCAGCACTGCTTTTGTAAAAGCATTTTGATTTAAGCAACTGGAAATCCCGAATAAGGAAAATGCATTTTATTTGCCCTGAAAGAAAGTTCAGATGTCTAAAGAAAAAAAAACGTGTACAACTCAACATTTTGTGGCTCAGTTTTAATTTTGATTAAATCCAAAAGTGTTAGGATGACCTCTTAATTACTATTATTATTATTATTATTAACCCAGTGTATTGCATTACTAATTACAAAAACAGTCATGTAATTTGTATTCACTTACTGATTTCCTTTTTAAAGCAGTCTGACCCAGCCCTGCTTATATTGGCTACAAGATCCTAGATATACAACACCCTGCTTTAAGTGAAAGCACACTTCGACAGAGTGCCTGTGTGGGCTCCTTTGTGTTGCTGCTGTATTATTTTCTGCTTTCATCAATATGCACAGCAGGAGACAAAAATCCTTGTCTCATTTTGTATCGGTTGTAAGTCACCCCAAGCCCACTGTTATCTGCCACATCACTCTGCAACCAGTCACTGCCTGAGGTGACACACCACACTGCACAGAGGACTAACAGCAGAGCTGAGAGGCAATTTGAGCCAATATCACACTTCACACTGCCTCAGTGTGACTAATTAGGCAGTGAAATCAGATGGTGAAACTGACCATCGAAAAATGAGTGTAACAGGCAATTTTTAAAACGGGGAGACGGTCATTCAAGGCAGTCACTTAAACAAAGAGGGGACAGCGTGCGAGCAGTTTTTACAAGTAGCGACACCACGAAAAAAATGCACAGATGGCTACAAAAAGACACTGTGACCTCTGCAGGGCGATTATATAAGCCAAAAGGACAATACAGGAAGCGGAATCCTATTTCACCAATTCAGACGCCTCTTGTATGTGACATGGATTACAGAGCATCCCCAAAACACAAGAATAAAGCTCCTCTAGCGTCAACTGACAAAGTCCCCGTGTCTTTTATGCTCAAGTAGTGAAGAATAACAACGGTATGAGAATGAAGACCTTCTCCGCTGCCAACAGATGCGTGAACACATTCTTCATAACCAAATTGGGTGCAATCTTTGAAGCATTAAAGTACAGGAACCTAATGATGCGGTGTGGGATATCCTGTGGGCACACAAACTGCAGTCCAATAAACTGGTGACTTCAAAGACAAATTCATCTCTCCCTGCTTGTTGTTGCAGTCGTGACATTCATCTGGAAGTGGCCATTATTTTTCCTGCACCTGATGAACCTGATGGCCTCTACACAGCGGCGCTCACATCCATTATCATGCAGCGTCTAGAGAGATTAGTCATGGCCCAAACTCTCTGCATTCAGTGAAATAAGACCGATATCTCCTGAAAAAGACACACTGCTTACACAATAAATATTTCACCCAATGCTCACTTTTCTTTCCCACAAGGGTTAAGATGAATATGTAAGTGTGAACTTCCATTCACCACTCGTTCCTCTGGTTCATCAGCGAACTCGAGAGCTCTGTCCTCCACTGACACGTCTCTGAACCTGGCTGCCGGATTTGCTGGCAGGCTGATGCCATTTGATCAGCTCTGCCTCTGTCACCACTCACTCTCATTACTTTTTTTTTTTGGGGTGGGGGGGCACCCTTGTAACTCTTTCTCCCCCTTGTACCCTCCCTGCATGCCCACCGTACATCTGTGTGACTACGCACAGCAGTAGTAGCTTTAAACACCACCACCAGTCACACCGCCCACAGAGCGGAGGTTGCAGCATTGGCAGTGGTGCTGGGACAATAACCTGTCCATAAATAACATCTGATTTTCATTTCTGTGGATGCAGACTGCATAGTAATTATGCAGACAGTCCATTTAAAATCATTCAGTGAATGCTTGAGTGCTTTAACATCTTTATGTTATGTACTTCATTAACAAATACTGCCGATAGGATAACAAAAACAAATTCATTTTAAGAGCGTCTGTACCGAGTTTAATGGAAAACATTACATATCTGTAGATTGTGTCGACTATAGGCTGTAAAATGAAAAGTAATAGTAAAACAAACTGCACTCAGGCACAGTGGTGCTTTGAGAAGGTGCTGATATCAGCATGCTGACATACTCACAGAGCCAATGGTAATTTGCTGATGTTAAGCAGGTAATATTTGCCATGTTCACCACCTTCGTTTAGACTATTACATTTGTAAATTAGCACTTAACACAAAGTAGAGCTAAGGCTGATGGGAATGTCATTAGTTTCGCTGGTATTTGGTGAGAAACCAAAGTATTGGTCAAGCAGAAAATTTCACTCACTAAAGTCATATTTTAATCACCAAAGTCATTAGAATTTGTCTCCCGGGAGCCTTGATTAACTTTTCACAGCAATCTATCCAATAGTTGTTGAGACTATTCGCTCGAAACCCACAAGTCTCATGGTGGCACAAAACAAAATGTCAAGGGATCAAAGTCTATATGATTCATCCAGCAAATGTCTGTCTGGTTTCATGGCAATGCATCCAATAATTGTTGAGAATTTCAGTTGGACAACGACTGCAAAAGAGCACAGCAGTCCTCTGCCAAGGCTAATTTTTGCAATTTTGAATAATAATAATGATAAAAAAAAAAGGTCTGCACTGAAATGTGATGGTTTCTTTCTTTGTTGATGTTCCACCTCTCCACCGGGTTTCATGAAATTCAGCAAGGCAGTTTTTTTTGTGTAATCCTGCAGACAAACAGCACTTAATACATTCCTCCACCTCCACTCTCTGCTTGGTGGAGGAACAAACTGACCGACCAACATTACCATGCATAGCTAGAAAATCTGAGATATCTCTAAATTCTCTATGCACAAAGCATCTGACTGAATTTTAAAACACAGACTACTTCGACACAAATACAAAAACTGGTCTAAAGATTTCACTTCTCCGCCGTTAATACATTCTGTGATTGCATAAACTGGACTAAGGACTTGGCAACTTCTTCTTCAGTTTTTTCAACTCGAAAAACGCAGAACCGAAAGAAGTAGAAATCTTTTCATGGTAGTTCTAGCAGAGCACTGAAGTCAAACGCACAGTCTCCAACAATATTAAATCATTAATCTCCTTTTAACAAGACTGTATGCCAGTCCTTACAAACTGCCAAGCTCTCACTCTCGCACATAATGAAGCTGCTGCTCGTTATACTTCGCTCCAACCTGCCGCTGCTGTTACTAGCTTAGTCAGGTTGTTTCCACTCTATTTGCTTGGCGCATTTTGTATATCCCATATCTAAGCGATGTGTCTGTTCTGTCCTTGGTGCATTGTACTCCCCGCTGAATCCCATGCAGCTGGATTTAATGGGGATCAGTAGCAGAGCCTAATAACAGTTTATAAGCAATTACGGAATAAATGGTCTTATATTCTGTGACGTAAACGCCTCTGACAGAAGTAAACTCGGCTGTATGAGTTGGGTATTGGCCCTAAAGAAAATCTGCCACCCTCACGTCGGTGCCACTACCACTGGCTGTTTAATCACGTCTCCTCTTAATACTTCCTGGGCAGCGGGGAAAAGCATTTCTCCCACTTTTAATGGACGTGGCACATCATTTGCTTTTTATGAGTTCATTAAAAATTTGTGAGACCGGGCTGAAATTGAGCATTAACCCATAATTCTATGCTTTGTTTATACAACTGCTAATGCTAAGTACATGATCTCAACTTGCTTGCTCAAAATAATCTATGTGACAGGTGCAGGCCGGAGTTGAAACGCTTCAAAAAAAGGAAGAAGCGGTAGTGATGAAAACCGGGTTCCGGCTGCGTTTCAGAAACGAACACGAGACGCATCTGTTTCTTATGTATATTAGCGCTGCATTCTCAAAGGGATTCCCGAAGGAATCTATAAATGCACATGCTCCGCACAGCACAGCCTCTCAGCTAAAAGTTTCTCCTTCAAACATCCTACAACGAGGAGAATCAATACAAACGTGAGGGGTGATTTTCTATACGCAGAACATGCTCCGCTTATAGGAAGGGGGGGGTTAGTGCCATCTAAGGAGGGATGGATAGTGTTTCCAGTCCTCTGCTGAGACCGAGGTCAGGCTGTACTCACATCTTTCAGACAGCCCATGAAGTTGTTGCTGACCGGGGAGCCTGGCAGGTCAGCTGTGTTGAGGCTGCCCCCTATGTAGAAGAGATCATCAGAGCCCAGCATGGTGTAGTCCTCCTGAGTGTAGCCGGTGGTGGTGAGAATCCCGTCCACCAAGATCGTCACCTAGGGGAACCATTAAGGGAGAGCGAGGGGAAAAATAAGGAGACAGATTTTTATTCAAACAGAAAGAACTGGCCTAATTATTTCATGCTTCATTTCTTCTGATTCTGGTTGAGCTCGCCTTAATGTTGAATCTTGAAGTCAATTACAAGAACAGCTTTGAAGGGTTCACTAATCTCAGCTGATCCCTGTTTATGATATATTAGCAGGATAGCCGTGGAGTCAATATACCATAAATATCCTTTCCACTGATGATTTGGCTCCAAAGCAATATGAATGCTACAGTATACTCAATTAATTTGAGATTAAAGATATAAGGATGGCAGGCTACATTACTAGTATATTGGCATCGGCACAACAAGATTACTCTCATATCAGTGTCATCAGTACACAGAGAAAGGAAATGAATGGCTGAACAGGGCTATAGAGGTAAAAATGATATGCTTGTTGCCATGACAATAAGCCTACGGTTAACACGTATTACTGCACAAATGTAACAGCTCCCACTTAGGAGTAATAAGTGAAAACAATTACCATTTCTTTGTGTGGAGGGATTTTAATTTTTTTTTTTTTTCTTTTTCAAATTTTCAGGAAAATCAATCATGAGAAGCTAATATTATTTTTTGCAAATTGTACTGAATATGATAAAGTGCATCTAAGGCAAAAAAAAAAAAAGAAAAAAAGACAGCTCCAATTGGGGACATCATGTTATCATGTTCAAAGATTCACTTATCTGTTCCGATTGCTCCGACCATTCCCAATCATTTCATACATGCAGTGGGACGATGCTGCAAACAAAACTGTCTCATCTTTTAGCCTATACATTTTTTATGATTAAAAGGGATTTTTTTTCACTAAACAAAAAAATATTTGAAGCACAATGTGACATATTTAAGGAAGCATGAATATTACAGATCACACACAAGAATGCGATGAGTTCAATTAAAAGAGAAAGATGAAAGAGTCAAATTCAACAGAGCTTTTCTTAAGCGGATAAGAGGAGCTAAAAAACACATAAAAAAAAAATCATTTAAAATGTGGAAATCATGATCAGTCTATTTTGGAGACCCCTCTTAAATGAAAATCAAGCTTTGAACCTTGTCCATATGCTGTTTTTTTTATATGCTAGAAGACACGTGAGGAGTAAAATAAGCAGACAACAGCATGGCTGAGCATTCCTGCCTATGATCTGCAGTGTAGAGATGAGTCTCAAAAACACGATTCAAACAGCCAGGTTCTCAAACACAACAAACCTGAGGAACTAATCCCAACAAGATGCAGGGTGGGGCTTTCAATTAGATCTAATTAACTGAAATTAATTGAAATATATAAATATATGACTATAAAAACAAAAGCTGTCCAAAGATACAGATAAAAGTCAGGCTAAAAAGGTGAATTTTACTTTTTATTTTTCTATAATATCCACATTCTCTGCACATCTCAAGGTTTCAATAGAGGACCCAAATGCAGGACACAAGAGGCAGTTCTTTTTAAACAACAACAACAACAACAAAAAAGAAAAGGCGGTGAGATTTAATAACTAAAGCTGATGCAACAAAACCAACGTCCAAGGGAACAAACAAAAACACAGGGAGCAGGCAAAGGCTAACAATAATCCGAGCTGGCAAACTGGAAAACACCGGGACCGAGCCGGGTCAGGAAACAAAGAGGTTTTAATTAAACAAGGTACGGCCCACAAATGCATGAAGACATGATACAAGGAACGTGGGCAAAAGAATTGTGGCTGGGAACACAGACGGACGGCAAAGACAGAGCACATGGATGGCGCACACACACACATGGGAGGCAAACACAGGTGAAAACAATAGGACAGCCACATGGGTGGGAACAATAAGCAGGCAGGAAGTAATTGAAAAGAGAGACATGGAACACACATACAAAGTGCAGGAGAGACATGGAACGGAAAACAAACGACATGGCCATGACCACTCAGGTCCTCTGGCAGGCTGCTCTACATCCCGGAGCCACAGGAGCTAAAAGTAGCCTGGCAGTGGGTCTCAGACTGGACCCTCGGAACAACTGAGAGGCTGCTTTCAGAGGACAGCATCCACCCGTATCACTGTGCTTCTGCAGAATCAGTTTCCAGTTCAAACATGTCTGCCTAGATTACTCCAGTATTACAACTTGCCATTGTGTTACGTAGAGTAATTTTACAGTGTTTGAGGAGAGTTGAAGGTGAGTAGGTTTGCTCAAACTGCAGGTGAGTGGCGGAGGGGGTGGGTGGAGAGAGGCCCAGGCCAATTTGCATATGCATAGATCCACACAGACTAAAGGAGGCAAAGGTGTAGAGTAACACTTACGCCATTTTAAGGGATTCATTCCATCCATCCATCCATTATCTATACACCG